ACCTTGTAACTACCCACCTGTAAAGGGCTTCTACTGAATTAAGGAGTATAATATACCTTAAGGGCTCCTTAGACGGATCTATAAGGGTTTCTATAAGGGGACTATGAGAACAAAGGAGTATACCTTATATCATATCGGGATCCTTCTTTTACTTTATTACTATATATCCCTCGGTTATGGGATCTTGGAAGATCTGGGAAGCTGTTTATAACACTCTTAACCCTAAAACCCTAAATCCTAAACATAGGCTTTTCGGAACAGCCGCCCGCTGTATGCGTATCGGGTCACAACTGCCATGATGCTCTCAACCATGAGCCCTTGAAGTAAGAGCCCCACAGTAGAGCCCTAAACCCTAAACTCCATGAAGCCCTATAACCCTAAGCCCCTAAACTCTAAAGACTTCAAACCCTGAACCCCAAACCCGAAGCCCTAAATCCTAAGCTCTAAGCCTTGTTAGCCGTTAGCCTTCACCTCTAAACCGATGCTCGCGAGCCCGAGCAGCACGCACTGGGGGACGACCGACCCATCCCGGACTGCAGAGTCTGCAACGCTCCACGAACAGACTGCAGAACCAGAGCAGCTTGAAAAGCGGGGGTTTAGGGTTTGGGGTTTAGGGCTTGGGGTTTAGGGTTTAGGGTTTGAGGTTTAGGGCTTGAGTTTTAGGGTTCAGGGTTTAGGGTTTGAGGTTTAGGGTTTAGGGTTGCATATTATCCTGTATTTCCCTAAAGGCTCCTATGCACTGTTATGGGGATATATCCCTAATTCGCAGTCGTAATTCCTAATATAGAGACCCGGCATTCTACAATATGTGTGTGTATATATATATAAAGGTACTTAGGAAACCCTTGCAGGGACCTTTAGAACCCTAGACCCTTAAAGGAACCCCTTAAAGGAACCCTTATAGGTACATAGGAACCTTTGGGTTCGGGGTACTATTGGTTTGCGGGTTTAGGTTTCAGGGATTTCCCCTATCGGTTTCCTAAGTAGCTGTAGGGTTTCCATGTTAGGAATTACAATTACGATATGGGGAAGTATCCCCTATAACGGTGCCTAGGACCCTTTGGGTTTGTGTAGGGTTATATCAAAAAGACGGGGTGAAAGCATGCACGTCGAATGGATATTGCGTTTTGTACATGAGAAGGTACGGCGTGCGTCGGGATAGAGGTATGTGGGTCGTTGGTAGGGATAGAGGTACGCGGATAGTTCTCTGAACGAGGATCCCTTTTTTAGTGGGGTGCCGTACTAGTTGGGGGCCTTAAAAAGGGACCCGATCTTAAAGAACTGCTCATGTGTATAGGTAAAGATATAGAATTCTAGAGCGGTGGAAGGTGTGGTGTAGTGTTGCTGGACATAATGTGGAGGTGGGATCCCCGAGTACATACTAGAATTAGACCAGCTGTAGTCTACCCCAAAGCCCTCATCGAACCTCGATACTACAGAGCCCTGGTTGACATAATTGAGGACCCCAAGCTATTTTCGGCGGTATTGAACCCAAAACCCGAAATTACATACGCTGTTCGAAGTTTCGAGACTCGGAGTAGGCTCTGATGCCTCCTGGTTTATTTACCACTCAGGCAAGGCAAGAAAGGGAGACAAATTAGGGGTTGGGGTTTAGGGCTTGATTGTTGTGCTGAAAGCTGAATTAACCCGCCATTTCCTTTGGGTATGAGGCCACTTGGTTCCCTTCTTATATGGGAGCCTAATACTTACCAAGACTATTTTGACGGTTCCTCATTATACTTGTTATAGTATTATATACCCTAAAACCCTATTCTAACAATTTAGGCCCCTACATTAGGTCTTGGCGAAAGTTGGGAAGCAAGAGGCTGTGGCCTTGCGAGGGTTTAGGCTTCACGGCGTGACGTCCCGAGTTGAAGCCCAAGAAACCCAAACCCGAACCCCTAAAACCAGGTACGCTACCCGACCTTACGGTAGCATGCGAGCAGTACTCATCTTCGTCCATGAGGTAGTATACTTCTCCAATTTCCAATCCATGCTTCACGGGCTCAGGGGCTCCTTATTCCAATCATACCATTTAAAGGACCCGATTCTAATTATTAAGGCCCCTACATGATGCGATCTCCGCTTCCGGCTCGCCAGGGATAGGCCAGAGCTTCACAGGGATCCCCGGAGACTCCGCAGAACGCCATGTCACATCGCAGCTTGGGCCGGACTTTGAGTTTTGGGTTCGGTTTAGGGGTTTAGGGGTTTAGGTTTTAGGGTTTGGGGGAGTTTGGGGTTTGTTTAGGATGTATAAAGGTGGTTTATGAGATTTATTTCGGGTTGTTTGGGTTTTGTCAGAGTTGTTTAGGGTTCTGTTAGGGTTTATAAGGGTGTTTTAAGGCTTATTAGGGTTTAAGTTTAGGGTTGAGGGTTTATTCGCGTTCGGGGTTTAAAATAGTGGGGGCTTACCTGGACCCCAAGAAGCCTCCCGTGCTTATGCCTCATGTAAGGAAATGATAATACTACTCTATGGGCTCTACCCTGTAGGGTTTAGGGTTTAGGGTTTAGGGTTTAGGGTTTAGGGTTTAGGGTTTAGGGTTTAGGGTTTAGGGGCTCTACCCTGTAGCCTTGGGGTCCAAGTACCTTACCTAATACACACATACTCTCCCAAATCTCGGCCTGCATAATCACCATCCACAACCCAAGTGCCTCAGGTCCATGGGACCCTTAGGTGGGGTCATATAAATGCGAATATGGATTTTATAAGGACCCTGCAGAACAGTAGGTCAGGTTTTGGTAGGTTAAGGTAGTGGTCATGACCTACTGATTTGTAGCCTTCCCTAAACCCAAAACCAAACAACCCCTAAGCCCGAAACCCTGAACCCTAAAGTTCTACACCGTGTAGCTTTCGGGCTAGAGGTCGGCTCCAGGCACGCGGGTTTGGGCTTGAGCTGCACGGCTAAAGCTTCAGCACTCTCAAGATGCCCAGAATGGGGCCTTAGGATTTAGGGGCTTAGGGGTTTATGGTTCAGTGCTGGCTTAAGGATTAGGGTTTAGGGGCTTAGGGTTTAGGGGCTTAGGGTTTAGGGGTTTAGGGTTTAGTACTTTGTAGGGTTTAGGGTATAAGTGTCTTGTGGGCTCAAGATGGCTTGAATGATTCCCAATCCTAGTCCTTCGGGGTTCCTCCAGATGATTAGTTTTCTAAATCAGCGTCCATTTTTTGGGTCCCCCCATGTAGTACGACACCCTTATAAAAGGGACCCTCAAAGGGACCCAATCCCCGTATAATTGTAGCATTCTATACCCCCGAGACGCTATTCCATGCATTGTGGCCCCTCTAGAGCACCTGCCAAGTATCGGGATCATATAGCGAATAGCAAAGCGAACTGTCGAACCAAAAAAGTCTCTTCGGGCGTCCCCTCAGACTTAAACTTAGTCCCGCAGAACTCGCAGTGTCAATGAAACCCCCAGCCTAAACCCTAGACGCTAAACCCTAAGCCCCAAAACCCTAAACCCTAAACCCCTGAACCCTCAAGCTCTAAACCCCTAATCCCTAAACCGCCGCCCTTGTCTCCTCCAAGGAAAGTTTGAGCGTCCCCGGCATGGCTCTCTGGGCTTCTTGCCCCGCAAGCGCACCAGGCGTGGCGGGTCTCGGGGCCCCTAAACCCGCCGAAGACCCTTCAGCCACAAAGCCGAAGGCTCTAAAGGATTCATGTAGGGGCCTTTCTATAATTAGAAGGCTCTAAAGAATTGATTAGTGTATACTTAGAAGAGGGTTTTTTGGGGGGCCCATGATCTACTACAGTTATGATAAGGATGCTCACAAGAACAGTATTGGGAAATATTTGGGCCCCTACGTTTATGTGTAAGGGCTTAGTCCGGGCCCAGGGACCTGACCATGGAAGCTTTGTTGTGTGCTCTTTGGATCCTTAGGGCCGGTTTAGGGTTTAGGGTTTAGGGTTTAGGGCCTTAGGGCAAGACGAACATAGAAGCCTAAAGAACTGGCTATATTAGTTTTGGTGGTTTCTTAATATAATTATGGTATAAGGGGGGGCCACCAAAATCCCTTGATTCAAGGAGTTTTTTTATCTGTCTATTTATCTATCTATCTATCTATCTATCTATACATCTATATATATATATATATATATATATATATCTATATATATATATATATATATACTGCCTAACCCCCAAACCCTGAGCTCATGCTAGGGGTCCCAATACTCCTTCTTCAAGGGGTAGGGGAAGATCTGGGTAAGTTTGATTTGCCATGGTCTCGAGCCTTCCTTGGATTTAGGTTTTAAGGGTTTGGGGTTTAGGGGCTTGGGGTTTAGGGGCTTAGGGTTTAGGGGTGTAGGATTTAGGGGTGTGGGGTTTAGGGGTTTAGGGTTTAGGGGTCTGACGGTAACCGACGTCCTATATCTGAAACTCGACACCCCAAACACAACAAGCAATCCCATGTAGGTGGTTGTCAAGATTATGGTCCCTTTTGGGGTCCCTAATATAATACGGCACCTAATATTGAGGGTACCCAAAAAGGGACCCTAATTTTGACAACAACCCATGTGTGAAATCCCCGAAGCTAAGCATCCCGAGTCACCTCCCGGACTTCTACAAAATCACGAAACCCAAACCTTAAACCGGAATCCCCAAGCCATACCCTAAAACAGACAATGTAACTCCTTGCAACCTAAAGCTACAAGAGACGCTACATCCCCTCCGTCCTAAACATGCACAAATACAAGTGCAATGATAAGTAAGTAAGGTAGCCAGAGTTACAACCCCAATAAAAGCACAAAACTACAACGCTGTTTAGAACTATGTACCGACATACCCCTGAGCATGTCCGAGAGAAGCCGTTTAGAAGCATGTTTAAAGCTTCTTCTGAGAACCATAAACCCTAAGACCTTAAACCCTAAACCCTAAACCAGCACAGCAGGCACCACCACGGCAAGATCAAGAGCTTCCCCAAGGATGACGCCTCGAAGAAGCCGCATTTGACAGCCTTCATGAGCTACAAGGCCGAGTTCACGGTTTAGGGCCTAGGGTTTCGGTTTTATATAAGGAGGCCGGTAGGTCCAGGGCATTCTACATCAAGGATTTGCAGGGGGTCTTGCAATGGTTCTCTAGGACTTCCGTGTGTGGCCTACGCATGGGGTGTTATATGGTTTTACAGATTAGGATGTGCGGATTGAGGCCCCCTACTTTTTAGGGTTTAGGGTTTAAGGTTTTTAGTTTAGGGCTTGTAGGGTTTAAGGGTTTCGGGTTTAGGGCTCATACGTTTTATAGGCATATGGGTTGTAGGTGCAAGTGTTTAGGCATTGGGTTGTGGGTTCTGGATTCGGGGGTTAGGCTAGCCTACCCGGACCGTAAGACAACTATCTTTGAAGGAGTTGTAATTAAGGAGTTTAGGGTTGGCGTAGGGTTTGGGATTCGGGGTTTGAGGTGTCTGTGGCACGGTGGGGTGCTTCTCTTGGTCGGACACTCGAAATCCTAAACCGTTCGGACACGTGGGACTGTCGGCTGATGACCCCCTAACCCCTAAACCCTCAAGAATTTCCACAAGCTCAAGTGAGCTTGACAGCCGCAGAGTCTACGAGTCCAGCAGCAAGGCAACTCTGCATTTTGTGCCTTACAAGTACTTAATGGTGGCTTGTTTCGCATTAAGCAGGTTGTCAGGGCTTCAGATGTAAAAGATAATGCTGCGAAGATTATTTGCCAGAAGCCCTCAACCCTAAGAGTCGCAACGTAGGGCTTAGGGGTGCTTAGGGCATTGGGGGACTTGCTCCCATGACTTGGCATCTGTGCATGAGGCGCCCTTTCTCACGTCACATGCTCACAGAGTTGGGTTTCCGAGTATCCTCATTTCCCTAAATCCTAAGCCCACCCTAAACCCTAAACCCTAAAGCTCATCATCCATTCGAGCTAGCAGCTTTCCATTCGCCGGGTGTCCCCGGAGGCATTCGCTCCGTCGCTCATTTTTCGGCGGTGGATGCACTAATGTAGGGGCCTTAAAGACTAGAATGGAGATTAGGGTTTAGGGTGTACGGTTTAGGGTCATTAGAATAAGGCTTTGGGGGGTTCGTTATTCAAATTATAGTATAACACAAACCCCAAAACCCTACTCTAATTATCAAGGCCCCTGCATTAGGCGAGTTCTGCATCCCTCTTCATGCGATGACGTGTGCACAGACATTGCGCTGGATGCGTTGCTTATTGACATGCCGTGGTCGACCAACACCTGAGATGTGCCAACTTTGAATTTGTGCCCACACTTTGAAGGACCGCAGCATGAAGCATCCCTCAGCCCCAAATCCAGCCATCTGAATCTGTAAAAAGACCCTAAACCCTAAACCCTAAGTAAACATACACCTTAATCCCCTAAACCTTAAACCCTAAACCCTGAAGCTTAGACGCAAGGAAACCTACATCCCGGGGGGTCTCCACTCCCGAAGCTTCTAACGAGACTTCACGTCAATTCTGAAGTTTCGGGGGGAGGAGAGGGGGTGGAGCGGTGTATCATGGTATAATCACATCTACCGCTCTGTAAGTATCTGCCCCACTGTCCTGGCTGATGGAGCCAGGAGCTTCCGAGAATCAATACCGCTCCGGAGACCATGCCCTAGCCTAGGTTTAGGGTTTAGGGTTTAGGAGTTTAGGGTTTAGGGTTTAGGGTTTCGTGGACATCATTGCATGACGGTAGTCCTGCATCCGGACCTAAGACCCGATACTTTCGAGCTGGACCGCACGCACTTGTCGTCACAAGAAGCATTTGTAACAAGACAGAATAGCAGAAGTCCAAAACCCTACAACCCAAGAGCCTTGAAAGGAACTTCTACAAGGGCTCCGAAAGCCTTTAAATGAAAGGAGCCCTTCTAAAGGAACCCGCAAAACATCAACGAAGCCCATGGATGTACCCGAAAAAGGATTCCGAAATATCCCCAGCTCGAAAACCCTGAACCTAAACCCTGCAGCCGAAAAGACTAGGGTTCCTTATTACAGCTTCTATATATTGATCCTTAAAAAGGTAGGGTTTATACCTTTTTAGGATTCCTTATTTAAGCTTCTAAAAATGGTTCCTTAAAAAGGTAGGTCTTTTGGCCTCTTGGGCCACAGGTAACCCTAAACCCTAAACCCTAAACTGTAACTCCTAGGGACGATTATCCCAAGCTTCAGGCTGGCATGACGCACATCGTTCGGGAGGTGGATCGACCTGGCTCCAAGCTCCACAAGAAAGAGCCACTTGTCTGAAGGGATTTAGAGTTTACGGGTTCGGGTTAAAATTTTTAGGGTTTAGGGTTAGGGTTCAGTTTTTAGGGTTTAGGGTTTAGGGCTTAAAGTTTAGGGTTGTCTGGGCACCGGTGGGTTTAGGCTTGAATTAGGGTTTGGTGTTAAGGGTCTAGGGTTGTCTGAACGGCTTAGGCTCAGGGTCTAGTGTTGTCTGACTCAAATTCCTATCAGCCTGTCTCAAAACCCAAGTTGGTTTCATGTGCAATTCAGCAATAGCCCTCATGCTTTACAGCCTACAGCCCCTAAACCCTAAAACCCTAAACTGACGCTTCCCTACAAGTAGCCCAATAATTCGGTTTTCGCAGTTACCCCAGCAGTGGTCATGATCGTTTCTCTCGTATCCCCATGGCAAAGTTTCAGAGATAACAATATTTATGCCTCATGTCATGTCATGGCATGGCAGGGCATGGCATGGCATGTGACGTCATGTCATATTATGCCATACTGTGCGAAAGTATATTCTACTGAACTATGCTACACTACACCAGTCTACGCCACATCATATGTCATACTAGGCTTTGGAGATAAAAGAAAGCTGTGGTCCGGTAGCCGAAGCCTGCAATTAGAGGAAACAGGAAATTCGAGCTAGGAAGTTGTGCCGGGTTTAGGGATAAGAGTTAGGGCTTTGGTCTTGGAGTGTAGGGTTTAGGGATGAGGGTTCAGGGATTAGGGTTTAGGGTTCAGGGGTTAGGGATTGGGGTTTAGGGCTTGGAGTGCCGGGTTGAGGCATGGCATTTTCGAAGGTTTGGCAGCGGAAGTCGCGGAACGCGCAACCATAGGCAGGGAGGCCCTGTCTCAGGCCCACGACCTTTCATTGAGGGACAATAGGAGGGACCCCTAGAAGGGACCCCCTAATCCAAACACCCTATATAATCCTTTTATACCCCTTATATAGTCTCATAAAGCCCCTATATAACCCCAAGGGTCCCTTTAAGGGTCCCTCCTTCAGTCCCTTGATTTCAGCCGTCGTCAAAGCTTGGCAGCTTAGCACCCAGGAGCTGCAGGTCTCAGCAGGGCTTCTACCTCTACCTGGACCCCCAATAACCTATCTTTTTCGGGTTCATTATTATAGTTTCTGTATGTGAGTCCGTAAAAAGGTAGGTTCTTTGGGATTAAGGTACTTCTACTTCCTATTGGACTGCAAATGTCTTTTGCTACCATTATGGCCATTATGGGCCATAATGCCACATGTATTGCCAGATAGCCCCCAAAACCGACTTGTGGGTATCATATCTAGCTGAGGGTACAAGGGACTTAGTAAGTCGGTTATAAGTCGGGTTATAATTGGGGTAACTCCATTTAGGGTACTTATAGCTCTACTTATAACCTACTTACTAAGTCCCCTGAGCCTCTAAGTAGTTGAGGGTACAAGGAGGGTCCAGCAAAGGATCGTCGAGCCGGTGACCGTGCTCGAGAGTCCCCCCATGATCGTCGTTGGCTTCGTCGGGTATGCCAGAAGCTGAGCTTTCGGGCTTAGCTTTTAGGGTTTAGGGTTTGGGTTGAGGGTATTTACTATAGGAGCCTTAATACTTAGCTGTTTTTTGATTTAGGGCTTCAGGCTAGAGTTTAGGGTTGAGGGTTTAGGGTTTTGGCTGTAAGGTTTAGGCTTGAGGGTTTAGGGTTTAGGGTTTTTTTGGAGTTCTTGGAGTGGAGTTTAGGGGTTTGGGGATTTGGGAGTCTTGGCCGCTCAAACAGTTTCGGTCTTCAGACTTTACCGGTCTTTGCGGTTCAGGGCGAGTTCTGGGTTTAGGGTGGGTCAACGGTTTAGGGGTTAAGGCTGTGAGGCCGCTGGGGCTTGCAGCAGGTACTTCCTGTTTGATTTTTTGCGCCCTAAACCCAAAACCCTAAGCCGAGGCAGCTTCCCAGTAGCTCCACTTTCAGATTCATGTCCGAGGCTGCAAGCGTTGTAACAGAAATGCCCTCCAAACCATTATTTGCCGTCATATCCCCCTCAGTGACTTGCCAAAAAGCAACTCGAAAATGCTGCCTGGTGCACCTTTATATGATACTCCTAAACCCTAAACCCTTAAACGCTGGACCGCTAAACCCTAAACCCTTAACCCTTAAACCCTAAGAACCCCTAAACCCGTAAACCCTAAGCCCTCAGAAGCACCCGCCGAACCGGCCAAGGTTGAGACCCCCCGAGGCCTTCGAGCGCTCACCTCGGTCTGGGCGGGACACCTGTCGGAGGAGTGCAAGAGGCCCGTGCCCTAAACCCTAAAACCCTAAAGCCTTATGCCTTCAAGCCCGCCCTAAGCCCTAAAGCCCTAAAGCGCTGAACCCTGAAGCCCTAAACCCTAAAACCCTGAACCTTAACACCCAAAACCCTCAAACCCTAAAGCCCAAATTCCCTAAACCCTACAGCCCTAATCCCTAAAAAGACCCCAAAGCCCTAAAACCCTAAAGCCCTTAAGCCCTAAAGCCCTAAGGCCCTAAAGTCCTACACCCCGATCCCTACATTGCGGCCTTCAGGGCATCAGACTGGAGGCTTCGGGATATGAGGTACAGGTTCTAGCGTTGGACCTATGAAGGTTTGTAGGGTTTACGGTTTAGGGTTTAGGGTTAAGGGTTCAGGGTTTAGGGTTTAGGGTTTAGGGTTCAGGGTTTAGGGTTTAAGGTTTAGGTTTCGGGTTTAGTCTCAACTCAAGAAATTCTTACTATTTATTTGCATAGGTACATGGGAAGCCCTGAAAGGAGCCCTACAGCCCAAAGCCCTTAAAGGAACCCTTACAAGGAGCCTATTTAGGTACGTAGGACTCGGGCCTCGGCATTCAATTCTAGGCTCTTTGGGTCGGTTTAGGGCTTGGGGCTGGTTTGGGTTGTGGTTTATGGTTCCCAGATCTCCCAAGATCTCTTCATGAAGGAAGATCACAAGATGCTTGAAATTAAAACGGGATCCTTCATATGATTTAAGGCAAACTTAGGGTGTATTCCTCAATGAAGTGGCGTTGCAAGATCGGGGCTTCTTTTAGGGAAGACAGGCCTCGTACCCCTGTGGAGTTACACACACAGGGCGTATAGAGTTGAGCTAAACCCTAAACCCCTAAACCCTAAACAGCCTAAACCTCTAAACCCTAAAACCCCTCCGAAACCGTAAACCCTGAAGAGTGAAGAGTGATGGGCCCACGCTCAAGCCAGGCGCTTCTACAAGACTTGGCACACCTCGAAGCAGAAGGCGTTCACCAAGTATCAGAAGCGCAGCTTGGGCTCGTATATACCTGGGGTCTCGTCTTTCTGGTGATTCTCTCTTTAAACCCCAAAATCCTACTAATCCATAAACCCTAAATCCCATCGGTTTAGGAGTTTAGGATCTAGGATTTGGAGGAGTTTCAGTCGTTTCCTTGGCTTCTGCTCCGGGGGTTGGGGGAAGTATTTCAAACCTAGCGGAAACTTTGGGTTTAGGGTTTAGGGTTTAGGGGTTTAGGGTTTAGGCGGGTAACCCCAAAGCCTGGACTTTGAAGCCCATCCCGGAGATTGAAATCCTTCATACGCCCCAACATACTGAGTCCAAACCCGAACACCCTAAACCCTGACACCCTAGGCCAGGGCCGAAAAGAACCTAAACCGTAAACCCTAAGCCCTAAACCCTAAACCCTCAGCCCTAAACCCTAAACCCTGAAACCCTAAACCCTAAACCCTAAAACCCTAAACTCTAAACCCTAAACCCGAAAACCCAAAACCCTCAACCAATGCAAGCTTGGGTTTCGGGAGAGCCGGGTTACAGCTTTGTGGGAAGGCACATCGGCATTTCTGAGGAGGGTTTAGGGATTTAGGGTTCAGGCTTTGGTTGGCGGAGATTAGGGCTCAGGGTTTAGGGTTTTGAGTTCAGGGTTCAGAGTTCAGGGCTTTGGGTTTGGGGGTTGGCACTTGTGGTTCTTACATGTTTGTACTGAGAGCCTGCTACTTGTAAATCTTGTTGTTGGAGCTTAGCTTACGCATGAACGTCCTATGCATAGCCAGTCGTGAAACTGTAATTTAGTCTTCCTGCATGTCTAGAGAAAATAAGATTTTCAGACTCAGACCTTGCGACAAACTTTATCAACCCACACAGCCATCCGTGAGCCGTCACCTCCCTAAACCCTACACACTCTAAGCCCTAACCCGAACCCGAATCACTCTAAACCCTAATCCTTGAAGCAGTCAAAGCTTCCCGTTTTAGACTTGCTGAACTGATGTGTGGGTAGTCAGCGGCCCGTAAAGGAACCCAAGACCTATAGGAACTCTGATGATAGTAAACTTGTCCCCTTAAATTACCCAAAGGCTCTTATGTACTGTTATGGGTATACTTCCCTAGATCATAATCGTAATGCGTAACATGGAAACCTGACATTCTGCTGTAATGGGTACACAGGACCGTTTGGGTTAGATAGTACCTTTACAGGTCCTGGATCAGATTTCCGAAAGACCCCGCTTCCAAGAATCAAAATCCCTAAACCTTACTTGCCATTATAAACCCTATACACTATAATATAGGGGCCTCAATAA